TAATACGTCTAGCAGTTTCCAAAGCAGGAAATGAAGATCCTGCTTTCCTATACCTAGACCCTAATACCTACCAAGATTTCTAAGCTGTCACACATGTGCTTTCTAAATGGGTCCAGGGAGTAAAGTAATTATAATAAATCCCTTTCCCCCAAAATAAACATGTTAAGATAAAAGGTCAGTGATATACGAGTAGTCCTTGCTTATGAACTGCAGTTAGGACCAGCAACTGTCGTAAAGTAAGATGTCATGTGACTGCGCCTGACTTATGATGTCAGTTTGTCAATCTGGCTGTGGTTGTTAAGCTAATCACCCATGGTTGTTAAGTGTGGCATCACATGACTACAACATACAACTTCCTGCTGGCTTCCCCATTGACTTTGCTTGTCAAAAGCTGGCTGTGAAAGTCGCAAATGGTGATCACATGACTGCGGGATGTTGCGACTCATAAATGTGCACTGGTTGCCAAGTGCCTGAATCATGATCATTGGCTGCAACTTTGAGGACTGGTTGTAAATCTCTTTTTTTCAGTGCTGTCATTAACTTTGAACGGTTGATAAGCGAGGACTACCTGTAGTTGAAAATCTGGTAGGTTAGAGCTGCCATCCTCATAAGGTAACTGTAGTTTGGCTGCAAATATTCATGGCAAAAGCCCCAAGACATTTCCCACACAAATGGTTAGCAGTTCAGGCAGGGAAGGTGAGGGGATGGGCTCTGAAACTAAAAAGCTGCTCTTGTTTCTGCCTTGCCTTTATTCTGGCACTTCTCTTCAACTTGCTGCTGAGCGATGGTTAATTGGAAACAAAAAGGAGAAGATAGAAATAAGAAATTAAATATTGATCTAGGGAATGGAGCTGTGCTGATTATAGAATTTCTAACAGTCCTAGCCAGTAGTTATTTGGGACTGAGATCAGTGGAAGAGTGTTGATTAAATTGGATGAACTTATAGGCGTTCTCGTCATTTTCTCAAGTTGAGAGTTTTCAGCTGCAGATGAATGGAAGTGGAAGCATTTGGAATAAATATCTGCCTTGTATGAAACCCTCTTATTAAGCAAGGATTGTGCATAGAGGTTGGCTGGTGGGCGATATTCAAAAGTGAAATAGCTTAAGTGTCTGGCATGCCTTTACTGATGGATATACTTATTGGGAAATTACTGTGGGTAATTTCCAGTTTCATGTGCACCCAGCATGCTCCAGTCAGTCCCTTTATCCTGATCGGAGCAAGCAGACATGCTACTCAGTACAGTTAGCAAAAATACAGTATAGCTTAATGGTTTTTTTTTAACTTGGTAAACATCAGCGAACATTAAAAAAAAGTTAACTGACAAGACAAAAAGGAGACAAAAGCAGGGAGAGAGAGAGAGAGAGATGGACAACAGGCAAGGGGGTAAAAGGGCAGCAGCAGACTTAATAATAATACCCTACATGATAACTATCGATCAATCAATTAAAAGATGTAGAACTTTCCAGAGCCACTGGCAACAATACTGTGGGTAATTAGCATGGACAGTTCCAAAGGGAGTGGCCTTTGATTGTTCCAGCCTTAACCCTTTTATGTCCATAACAGCAGTAGAATAGAGATGGAAGTAATACACAAGGTGATCTCTTTTCTGTTCTACACCATGAAAGAAAGTATTTGGTGGATGCTGATGATGTATCCAACAAAACCACTGCTGATTATCAGCCCATTTTCCCATCTGTAATCTATTATGACATTGTCATTATATCTCACTTCTCAGATCTGATGCTTTTCAGATGTGGTCAAAAGAATAGATAGAGGCATGAAATAATAAACATAATAGAATCCATCCTGCCTTTCTGAATATCATAACAGAGTAAAATGCAGAGCATATGTGTAAGAGCTTGAGATAAAATTAATTTGCTGCATGCTACTCAACAGCTTTGCACTTTCTTAATATTTCTGTTCACTTATTAATGTGAAAAGGCAAAACAGAAAACTATAAATGTTCCATGTTGTGACAGGAACTACATTTTACTGTGACTAGAAATCAATGTTGGCATTATAAAAATTGCACATGTAGGTCACACACATAAGGATAATGTGTTCCATTAGCAACCAATGTGTTCATTTTAAATTGCTTATTTGGACAGGTCTGTTCGCAGATGACAGTTTGAGCAAATATAGCTTTTGCTGGAAAATCTATACAGCAGCAAAAGATATAACTGATAGAATTCTACTCTGCATTACTGTCACGATCCCCTTAGTTAACCAATAAACATTTGAAATGCAATCTTGGATTTTTGCAGTTAAAGAGAACAAGGAGCATTAAAATAGGCACAAATCAGGTATGTCTCTGATAACACGGGACATTTTAGAGACTTATATAAACAACTAAACCATTTAGGTGTATTATAGACATCAGAATTCAATATGCAGGTCATATGATGGAAAACAATATGAACAAGACAATTGCAGTCATAACTTTTTCACCTGTCTGAACATTTCCTTGCCATTATACAATGCTAGGTATAGCAGAAATTTGACTGTAGATATAGTTTGTTATTAATATTGTTTTTAACATAAAAGAAACTTCCCTGAGCTCCAGAAACATTATTATTTCTTCCACACATACTATGTGAAGTTCATTTCTCTCCTTTTTTTAAACTCTCCATTACAATCTGTTTCCTTTGCTAATTGAGCTAACCATTGCTAGTGACGATAAACCCTGTAATTTATTGGCTGAGCTGGTCTGAAGTTGAAGCATTTATAATAAATGGCTTTGTCAGAGGGGGAAAAAAATGGCATTTGCAGGGCAGCTTCTGTGAGGACAGAGAAAAGGATCACTTTCATTTGGATTAAAACTCACATTAACCTTAGAAACAGAAGTATATTTGTGGCATGGCCCATGGACTTGAAGGAGATGTGGAAGATCCTAGTGAAGGTATTGTTGAATATAAGCAGTGTACAGTGCACAGGAATCTGAGAAAAGAGTAGGTGAAGGATCAGGAAAATTCTAGTGAAGATAGGTCATTTAGTACCCTCTAGATATTTTGGGCTCCAGGCCTCATGTTACTTGCTATTGGCCATGACTCTTGATGGGAACTGAAGTCCAAAACATCTGAAAGGCTTCTTTGGAGAACTCCCACAGTGCTCTGAGGTCAGAAAAGACAGTTTGCCATGGCTCTGCATTCAGTGCTAAGTTCTGATCCAGATTTTATTTAGGACTCAAATGCTCTCTAGATATGCTCTGGTCCAGATATGAAAGAGTCAGTTTAGTTCCAATTTAAGAACTATAGTATTAAGCTACAGTCAAACCATATTCTGCTTAGATAATATATTTGCATTTCCCAAGTAGTTTTTTCTTTTTTCTTTTTTTTGGGGGGGATAAATGAACTTTACGCTGCCCATGGGATACAAGGCTGGCCATGAGATAGAAATCCCATGAGACATGAGATAATAATTGGGTTAATAACCCTCTAAGATAAAGCAGGATTGGGGTAAATTCTCCCATCTAGTCACAGTACAGAAGAGGCTTTTTTTTTTTAGTTTTAACAAGAAATACCAAGACTAATGAAGAATGTTTAGATGGCAAGAAAAAAGGATGCAGTTTCCAAATATAGAGTTTCAGGCTATTCCACTCTGCCATTGTCATTTCTACAATTATTCTGAACTTGATCCTGACAGGGGAACAAGGACCAAGAGTGGGTTTTGAATTTCACACATTGGCTTGAGCTAAATTACATTGTATAATATATCAGAGGAATAGAGCACAGGGCTCTCCTTCCTCAGGAGAGAAGTAAGATATCAGAACTGAGCCTTCAACTAAATATACCCAACAAGTTGTTAAAAATGGATATCTAAATATTATCTGCAATTGTTCTGGTTTGAAAGTAGAATCATTGTTCCATTAATATTTATGAATATTAAAGAATCTTATTTTTATTCTAGGTCCAACATAAGGCCACAGTATGCAGAAACAAGTACGCATGACTTTAAAATGTATACCTTCACTCGTGTAACATCCTGCAAAGTCTGTCAGATGCTTCTGAGGTACGTGTCAAAGGGCTGATGCCTAAAAATTTACATTATACCTGGGAAAAACAATGACATTCAATAAAGTCAAATTATCTAATGGATTCTACCTCTCTCTTTTTTAAAGCTGGCAAGACTTAAAACCTGAAAGTAGTTGCATAATTCAGCATTAGCGTGAATCCAGGTAGTTTGTTCAAATAGTAAACATGGCATTTCCCTCCCTCTGATTATTACTGCTGTGCAAAATCAGTGACCTATAATGGGCATTTGCAATGAGGAAGAGGCAGGAGGGATGGTTAGCCTCCTTCATTTTTCTCATATAACCAGAAAATGTTTTAAAATTATACTGACCACCTCCAAAAATGAAGAGCTTTAGAAGATTAAATCCACTTTCCAACTGTCCCCTGAAAATGCTTTCTTCAGGTTAGCTGAAGAGCCATTGGGTGACAAACATGAGATTTATTATTTTTGCAAAGTATGTATACTTCCACCTAAGATAAATCACTTTGTGCATGTGATAACCTTTGGAAGAAAGGGGATATACAAAAAATATTTGGAGTCCCTACTATGTTAATTAAGGCATGTAATTAATGAATTCCTGGGTAATTGGAAAGAATTGGCAACATTCTCTATGGTAGCTAGAATTTCAAAATTTAGAAACAAAATATTGGGTAACTAGTTGGTATCATTGGTATCATCAACATCACTTTTTTGTTAAAACAGATAGACAAAATACTAAAGGTGGATGTCAAATTAGTATGTGGTGTGGTAAAGTTTGTTGTTTGAAAGTTTTGATGTTGGAGTTTAGTTTTGAGCTTAATTGAATGCCAGAAGTTTCTATATGCTGTGCCAAATAGCAATCAAAGAAAGATATGTACGTGTGTGTATGCATTTATTTTCCCAACAGTTCTGTAGTTGAACAGCCAAGTCTTAAATGAATTGTTGCTTCAGAACTAATAGTAATGAAATGAAATCATAATTATGTCTGCAATTTTCTTTTGCTAAGTTTTGATGCCTAGAATTCTGCTTTTCTCATTACTTCAGTTTTCAATTAAGTTAGCATTCTGATGGCATGCTCACTGAATGAGCCATAATCTTCATTTGCAGTCTGTTTGCTGCCTAAGTCATCCAAATATGTTTTTCTTTTATGGATTCCATTACAGCCAGAAAATAGGTATTTTCCTGTGAAAGAGGCATGATTAGAAGGTTAAATGTCCATGAAAAGATTTTTATCACTTAAAGATATTAGGGATTATTTAATTAATTTATTATAAAAACAACAACATTGAGTCTTGGTCCTTGAAATAAAACCATTGAGATATTCTTCTTAGAATAAGAAGTGGGATACTCCAAAAACCCTGAAGAAACTTTTATTATTATTGAACCATTTATTTTTCCTTCATTGTCCCTGAAAGTTTAACTATGTTTTTTAAAATGTATTTATAATGGAATATGTTCTCAGGTACTGAAGATAATTAATGAATTGGGGTGATTTTGTGCTTTTCTGTGGAAGCAAAATAATAATAGATCTATCTAACATTTTACTAAATTTTTTTGTGAAGAGTAATTGCTACTAGTAGCATTTGTATTGCTTTTTATGTTCATTTCTTTTAAACTCAAAAATGTTGCTTTCCAAATTGACCTTTCAAAAAGAATTATTTCCACTAAAGCCATTGCAAGCCAAGGAGAAAAAAGGGCAATTATGATACAAATGCTGCAGGTTATTATTAGTATACTACAAACTTTATATGAGTCTAACAATATTCCAATAGTTGAATTTTTTTTAAAATACTATGGTACTGATTAAAAAAATACCCAGCATTTAATTTACCTTAATTCCTCCTTGACAGAAATAGGATCTTACAAATCTGGGATTGTGCAGAATAGCTCTGTACTATAAGAAAGCAGTTTAAATAAAATATTAAAATATTTAGTGGGAGTTATTAAGCACAATTCCATTTGATAAGCGGAAAAATAGTAAATCCTTCACGTCCAATATTATTAGACTACTTGGAAAACATCCTATATTTTCCTGTAAAATATATCCTGTAAAATATAAAATCCTATAAAAATGATATCTATAGTGTGAATATGGCCCTGTAGTTTTTAAAACATGAAACGATATACAATACCATAAACATACATATTATATAGTTGTGTTATTCCATAATATGTGAAGACACCAATGCAGTAGTCATGAGCTCTGAATATATAGTAACGATAAACTTTACGGAGCTACATGCCACATGAGCAACCTCTGCATAGTCATCACATTTCAATTTGTTGTGATTATCTGCATATCTCTCTCTTGGTATTAAAAGTAACAGACATCATCAATTCTGAGACTGCCTCTCCCAACATCCCAGTGCTTTGTCTCAATATACAGTCCAGGATTCAATCAACACTAAAACCAGATATACTGAGAAAAAAAAAGTTTTGGAATGATCACACTATTGTGGATTGTTCAGCTTCCAAAAATGTGGCTGTTTAAATAACCAATGTCCATTAGAGTCGGGGAGGAAAAACATTGCTGGTTATTGGTATTTGGGGATTTATTATAAGCATCTGGAAGTATATGTGAATGCATTCTTGTCACACACATTGAACTGATTCATATTTTAATGTTGGTTACATTATATTAAAAGTTTGCTAATTTTCGTACTACCTAACTTTATATTTCAGGGGAACATTTTATCAAGGCTATTTATGTTCAAAGTGTGGGGCTGGAGTCCACAAAGAATGTTTGGGAAGACTAGACAATTGCAGCAGAGTTAATTTGGTTGGTAAGTCATCTGCATTGTTTGGGATTCCATTTTAATTAGGTCATAAAACTTGCCAGATTTAATTAAGACTTAATTTCCCTTAAGTTGTTTTCATTGTATTTTTGTGGTGGTACATTTATAAACATAGCTATAATTGCTTTTTTGGAATCATAGTAACTTTCTTTAATTTACTGTGAGGTAAAAGAACTATTACAGCCACTGGAATACTGTGTGAAGCTCCCAAGAATCATATAATTAGATCTAGGTATCTGATAGAACTTCCTATACTTCTCAGATGACAGTCATTTCTGGTCTCCCATCCCCTGCTATAAACCACTAGCACTGAAGAAATTTTTGGGGGGATCACTGTTGAAAGTGGTCCCTGTGGGCGTTCAGAAGTTCACTTAGAGGAATTTATATGCTGGATAAGGCAACCGGTAGTTGTAAATTATGATAATCATCATTGTCATCTATTTCCAACGTTGATGATAGTTTCTAGGTGTGAAAGTGGAAAAGGTAGAGGACAATTATATCCCTCATGCCTTTATTTAGCCTTCTCAAAAGCATCTGTCTGATTACTAAAGGAACATAGCTGCTGGTTTAGATAGGCCATTAGTCAGGTTCACAACGTTATGTGGAGAACATTTGGAATTTTGAGCATGCTTTCATTTTTTAGCCAGATTATTGAAGCCGAACATGACATTTTAGATTTTCACAAAGCACTTCCAGCAGGTATACAGAATAATAAATCAACCTGTCTGTGTTCATAATTTGATCATTTAAATAGGACAGTTTTCTAATTTTAGAAAATCAGGTCAGAAGTTTTAAATAAATCGGAGAAGAACATCTTGCATCTTTGATGTTATGATATGATAATTTATTCATTAATCCATAAAGTTGTCTGCATGTGATCTTTGCCTCCAGCAATTGAATAGAAATTGTTTAATTATTACATCCCTGATAGGACTTGAGAGAAAATCTGCAAACTTTTGTGACCATTTGGTGGGGGAAGTCACAGTGCTATACATTTTAATCGGTGTATGAAAGAGAAATGCCATATAGGATAAGAAAGGCTATGTATTAGGAGTGTGCAAAACCTTTCCCAGAAGGACAGGTTTTACGCATATCTGCTGCCTACATAACTGTTTGAGGAATGGGAGCTACGTCATGCTTCTATAGCCGGTCATCCTCTTTGCTAATTAGACGTTGTCAACTAAGAGTGCTGATTTGCTTTATTTTCCAGACTTGTATGCTGTCTTGCAGATAATTTAGCAAGCAGCCAGATATTTGCATGTCATTGTTTTAAGATAATCAGTTAATAAAATATATCTTAGGGATAATAAAGTGCTATAGCTATCAAAACAGGAATTCTGGTGATGAGACTGAACTCCCTTATTCCCTACACTACCTTTCCCCAAACAGGTTGCTCTTTAGATGTGTTGAGTTCAGGACCCAGAGTTTGCCAGCCAGCATGGCCATTGCTGAGAATTCTGGGAGTTGAAGTCCACACATCTGGATTTTACTAGAGTAAGCTGTCCTGCCATCAGGAAGCTGCAAGCTTGCCATTGCTGTGGTTTCACTGCCAAGTTTTTGGATGGTGAAAAAGTCTAGCAGAAGGCAGTCAATCTGAAGGACTAGTAAGAGTTCTGTTTTGACTGACTGCTTATTGGTCCCTGTTCCCTGTCCTGAAGTAAGTAACTTGGCTTCCTAACAGTAATTATTATTTTATAAATATAAATGACAGAATTGCCTGCAAAGGGGAAGTTAAAAAAAAACAAACACCTTAATTATCACTGTTTAATTACACCTATTTCTGTTTTAGCAAGATAGATTTTGGCTTACTTCCAGAAAAGCATTTATATAAGCACAGAAGTCAGCAGGTCTGAAGACTGTATAGGGTGTGACTGTGAATGTTTTTTTTAAAGTTAATGGAATGAAAGTGAATGGCAACACCAGGACACCTGCACTGAGCATAGGTTAGACCTGATTGCCTAAATTCTAGCTTGTTAAAATTTAATCTTACAAAGTCCTTACTATATTAGATCAATAGTAAACTGCAGTTAATTTAATTGGTAACGGAATAGTAATTATGTTTAAAAAAGTAGGAACTAATGGGCCCAGTGGAAAATGTTACACCAATCCCTTTGCCTTGTTTTCAAAGGACATTTAATAAAAAATGGGGAAACATTCAGACTTTTTGACTGTTAGGACATACTGTTACATTATACAAAGGCAAATGTGAGACAGATGTAGCTTCTCATAATTTCCTATGAGTGTGCACATATAGTACACAAATTTTCTGCATTTGGATTTTACATATTTAGGTGTATTTTTAAAGTAGGAGTCAGCAGCTTTTTCAGATAGAAAAATACGCAAAAATACAATTTGAAAAATGTGATGGATACCAAACAAAGAAAATTTAAAATAAAAGAAAGGAATATACCCAAGACACCATTTCCTTTTAGAGTAAACAACATTATGCAAAGTGGAAGTATGAAATAAGGAGGTGATAAGCTAAAGAAATTCAAGGCATGGGGTAAGAAAATAAAGAAAAGGCAATTTAGCTAAATCTAATTTACACAGACACAATTTGCTCTATCACTCCATATCGTTCTGTCCTTGTAAACCATCTTTGTTTCTACCATGTCATGTCCATATACCAATTCAGTGTCTTTTGTTCTTTAAATGGTCTGTTTTTCAGGATTTCAACAGCTCCATCGGACCACAACTTTCTCAGTCTTCATGTATTCCATCCTAACTCCTTCTCCCTGTGAGACCAAACCAAGATACTCAATACTTCATACTCATCATAATACCTCATTCATTCAGCACCCTTTCCGTCTCGATCCTATCTTGTCTTGTTTTACCACATGGATTTTAGTTTCCCATTCCCACTGTATTCAGCTTATTTTTATACTTCTCCTGATATACTCCAGCTCTCACTTCTATATAACAAAAGGAGCAAAAGCAAATCAAACCACTTTCAACTTCTTTGACAAACATTCATTCCTCACAAGAGACTACATACTCCCCACTATCAGCAGTTGCATGACTTAAAATTTCTCCCTCTGTTTCCCTCTCTTTAGTAAACAAGGTACAAAAATTCATCTACTTGCTCTAGTTTTTCCACCCATTTATGCATAACTTGTGCACTCCATTTTGCCAAGGTCTTTGTATGATGCAATGAGGTGTGTGGATCTGAAAATGAATGCGCCAAGTTAGATAACATTTATTGAAAATCATTTTGATTCTCAGCAGCATGGGGGGAAAAATGCTTAAAATTTAAATAAAAACATGCAAGGTGTTGTCTATTTTTAATTTTCAATTTAATTTTTTTTTCTTTAAAAAAATTTGGTCAGTGTGCTCCATCTAGTGGTGGGCACTGCCTTGCTAACTCTTTTTACTTTATTTTTTCTTTTCATAATTTATATGCCAGCTACCTGCCTAGTTTGTATGCAAACAGATTTTTTTTGCTTTACATAATTCATTTTTATTTCCATTTCTCTTACTATTAACATAGATCACTGTCATTGCAAAAGCTTAATTTGTTGAGACGTACTTACCTTCTCTGGAAATTTCTTTAATTCTTTTATATTTATCTCATCTAAAATAGCTTGCATTTTCTCTTGACTCTTCTTTTTGAGTTCACTATTATGTTGTATAAAATAACTTCTAATAAAAGCTTTACTTAATCCCAAACCATTCTTAAAACAATACCTTTACCTAAATTAATTTGAAAAACATATTTTAATTTCTTTTTACAATCCTCCACTATTGTTTCTTTTGGTAGCAACATTTTGTTTAGTCTCCATATAAAAGAACAAGATTTTCTTTTATAAATCAAACTCACAGGATTATGATCTGAAAAAATCTCTACTTTAGAAACCTTAGTAGCCAAATTCTTTGAAATACAACTCATATTTATTCTCGAAAAGGATATGTGTCTTTCAGAAAAGTACATATACTCTCTTGAATTGCCATTGTTGGGTCTCCATATATCAACCAGCCCTAAATTGTCCATCAGATCAAAGAAAACTTTTGGTAATTTGTCTTGAGTGATTTTAATATTTTTCTCGAAAGTTCTATCCAAATCAATTTTCATAAGAGAAACCCATTAGTCTTTTCATAAGTTCTTTATAGAACATTACTTTATCCTCATTTGGGGCATAAATTCCCAGTATCAAAGTCTTAGTCCCATGCAAATTAACTTCCACTCCAACAAATCTACCATGCTCATCAGTCAATACAGGTTCTGGTTTTAGTTGCGGATTTATGTACTGTACAAAACAACTCCATTTTTTCCCCTGCTGAAATAAATTCTTCACCCAAATTTTTATAAATCAAACATTTAATGTCCTTTTTTCTAATATGTGTCTCTTGTAGGCAAATTATAACTTGTTTTAATTTTTCAAATAATGATTTTTTTTTCTCTTTTGAGGAGCATTTACTCCATTTATATTTTATGTTAAGCATTTGTAATCCATAGTCAAGCAAAAAATTTAGAAAAATCTGTTGAAGTTTTTGTGTAGTCTCATCTGACACCTCCATTTGAATCGCCTCCAGTTCCTCTTTAAATTTTTCTAGAAATTCCCTTACCTTCTGGACAGAATTCTGTTGAAATGCTCTAGCAATCCTCTCCTCCCCTCTGTTATTTTGGCCGCTTTTCTGGTGGTTGCCATTGTAAGATTATAATCCAGAAGTGAAAGTGTCTCAATTTCAAGGGAAAGAGTAAAAGGCAAGCTTTCTCTTTTTTTCTGTTTTGTCTTCCTGTGCCCTTCATACTTTCATCTTAAATGGCACTCAGTAGTTACAGTCAACATCACAGTCTGGCTCATATTACCATTACCTTTTGTTTTGTAAAATTCACCAATTGTCTGCACCCTTTAATAGTAGACAAAAAACTTTCCCACAAAGGTCCAGTTCATTTGTCTGTTTTATTCCAATTTGTTTAAAAGCACTTTCACCAAAAAATAATCTTTCAAAATATCTTTATCCATTTTAAACTTTCTTACATCCATCCCTTGTTAAGCTTTTTGCCAAAAGCTTTTAAATCTTTGAAACCCTTTTTCTTTTCCCTTTTTAATCGAGAAAGAATGTTGATTTGCCAAGTGGAATTCTCTTATCCTGCTGCTCAGAAAATCTCTCTTTAGCTGTGAATTAATTACATCTGAAAGTGTTTAAGAAATTAGGCTTGTGTGAACCTTGTGTCCATATAGGCTGCATTACAGCTATGAGCTTGGTTGAAATCCCTCGACTCCCAGCTGCTTAACTCAAAAGCTGACTGCAAAAACTTTCGTTCCTGCAGTCCACTCACAAGGAGCAGCTCCCCGGAGTGCAAGTGGGCAATCTCATGATCTCTCCTTTATCTGGAAAGACTGCACTGGCCAGAATTCATCCTCTGGCCACCAATCTCCACTGCAATGCCGTCCTTGCTCCTTCAGGGACGTCTAGTCTGCCATAAGTCCTCACTGGAAGCTCTACTGTCTTGCTAACTTGTGACTTCAAGCATTTCAACTATGTGAAGTGGTCCATAGCCAAACTGTATACAGCTGTTTTCATAAGATACATAGAGCAGAGAATTGTGGTTCTGCTTACCGCATGTTAGGTTATGTGTATTCATTAAATGCTATAGATGCACATATTTTGTTTCATTAAGTTGTACTCTTAAGCAGATACTACAGTCAGTTTTGTCACATGAAATTCTCTGATTATGATCTTCCTGTAGATGTAAGCCATGTTTCTCTCAGATCAGTGCTGGGATCTACCAAGGAGATCTGTAGGTTCTTAAAACCATTTTGTAGAGCTTTTGTTGGAGTTAGTTTTTCAATTGTGCAAGTGCTGCTGGAAAGGAGAAATTCCTGGAGAACTGCCTGAAAATAAACAAACCTAGCATGTGCATTACCACATCTCTCTTGCCAAATTAGGAGAATCATATTTCACTTCATGAGAAGCTATTCAAATAAAATAGAGGGCAGGCCCACTCATGTCTTGAATTGTGTGTTACTTTGAGTACATATTAAAAATGCTCTAATTTGAAGTTTGTTGCTCATAAGCCATTTTATGATACATACATGATTCAGTTCTCCCTTGCTTCTGCCTTTATTCTTACGGTATATAATATTGTTGTATACCCTCCAATGAAGTGAACAATCCTACAGTAGTATAATAGGGTCAGTGTTTTCTAAAAAAGGAGAGAGCTAGCCACCATTTCATGATCTTGTGAGAGCTTGATTACTTTTATTTTTTTAATATTAATTTAATATTGTTTGAATTTTGATTTTGTAATAAATAATTGCAAATGTGAAGTTTATATTTTGCTTTGTGACTCTTCCCCCTTTTTAATATTGCAATTCAGAATATATCATGCAGAACACTGCTTATGTTTTTCCAAGGAAAAATTTTTGCAATATTTTAATTTCAGTAGCTTCCTTTTGATTATCTATCCATATAGCAATCAACAGTGACTAGTTCCTACGTGCATATCCATCACATGATTTCTTATCATTGATTTATTCAACATTTGATGGCTCAGAAATGAATGTAGTGAATTGGTTCACATTTTTTAAAAAGTGGCTAGGATATAAAAAGCTTTTCAAGTCAGATTGGGGGATCTCTGTCAGTATTTTTGACTTAAATCCCCCTCCTTCCCCAAAACCAAATCAGGATTCCTTTAGAGGAGAACTATAATTTGATAAATGCAAAGTCACCCTTCCTTGAATGTTCAAAGGTAATTCAGCTATTCTTTGGATCTAGCCTGCTGTTTTTGAAGTTAAAAGAAGAAATACGAAAATTCTGTTTGTAGAACATGTTTCGTAATGCCTCATTCACATGTGCCAATCACTTCTTGAATCTACTGCGTATAAGTGACAATCATGCATGTGTACATCAGTCCAGAGCCCTTTCATCTTTGGTTTAAGATAGAGTAGGATTTGGTATGTTTTGTCTTTCAGAAAAATGTGTGCAAAATATATGCATATTGTATAATGGAAAAGCTGCATACAAATCTTATGTCAGAATGCCAAAGCCATATTATTAATATGATATAATATAATATATAATATAATATAATAATTATATCATCATAAATATAATGTGATAATACTATATAATATACTCTAGATATATTTTTCTGGGAGGAGAAACTGCAGTGCTTGATACTAAAGTCTAGATTCAAACAGCTGTACACATTTAAAACTGGAAAATTCTCACCTCCATAAGTTTCTGTAGACCTCAGAGCGTTTCAGAGATTTTAGGCAATCTGTTGGTTTAGAAAGCTGTGTGTCACAGAGTTAAGCATAAACCCAAAGCTTTTTATAGCTGTTCAGTGCTGCCTGACTTGAGCCAATAAAAGTGAACATAGTTTGCAAAATAACTAGCTGAGCCTCAGGGTGGTTGGAGCATAAAAAAGGTTATCAGCTAGCAAAACAAAGTAGTTCTGTGTGCTCTCACCGTATCCCTGAGCTAGGGATTACTGTTGTACAGTGTGAATGCTCGCCACTGACCATGCCAATTTTTACATTTGTTCCAGAGCATGGAACCCTGAAATATGAGGTAAGTGTGCCTTTTTTTGAGATTTGATGTAATATTTGTTATGGATGTGAGTAAAACGCCTCCTTTTTTTGTATCGATTTCGTTAGCCCTGATGGAAGGTAGGTCTCTGTCTGTGTATGCAATCTGTATGATTTTTGAAGTAACTTTGTGTTTGCACTCCTAGCTTAGAAAGAGAAACAAAGGACACAATCTGCTGAAAAGGAAGCATTTTAAGTCCTATTGATTTCAAGGAATGAAGTAATTAAATGCATAACTGTTGTTGAAATAAATGAATCTTGCATGTTCTTCATCGATACTGGATCATGTTTTAACAAATACAGGATTTGCATGATTTTCTTCAAACTTTTTCAGTGTTCCAGAGATTAACAGAAAATACGTAGTAAAACCAAGCAAGAAAGAAATATCTAAATTCACATGTAAGGGCTACTCTGTGATGCAGCAGAAGAGTTATGTGGTCTAAATTTCCAAGAGATAATGAAGGAGTACAATTTTCTGCCATTCTCAGTTGGCGTGCAGTAAAATGAGCAGCAAAATGCTGATTTTATACAGCTGTCTTAGAATTACTTGGCAAATTTAAACATTTTGATTGAATGATCATAGTAATTGACATTTGTTCAGTGAGAAATTAATCTCAGAACAATGGATCATTTGGGGGTTTTATGAAAAGAACCTAGGGTGGTTATTGTTACGGTGTGTATGTGGGGGGACAACTATATGTTAATTGTGTAGTTTCCTTCTGAATATAGCTCTGAAATATAAGAATCTGAATTAATTGGGGGTAATGAAAAGACAAGTTGGGCTAAATTACTTAATCATTTCTTGTTTTATATCTTGCTTTTATTAAGAGCAACATGTATAATTTTTGGAGTGTACTTCATTCGCATGTTGAAAGAGCTTTAGGTGAATTGGAATGTTAAGTGTTGGTTTCAAAATATGGCTCTCCACCAAACAATGTTTGCCATCAATTCCGCAGTGAAGTGGCAATTATTAAGAACTGACCGCTAACCTGAGAGCAAATTAAACTTGTTCATAGAACAATTTTTTTTTTCCTCTTTGAAGGGAATTATTTATATTTGCTTTCCATAATATCGTCTGTGAAGCCATGTTATTCATCTTCAGAGGAAACTATTGATGGACAAGTTTAACACAGCTGAAATTGCACTAAGGATGAAATTGCTGTAGAGGTGGTATATCCGGAATGGCAATGATCAGAAATTGGAAAGCTTTGAGGGAATAGGCAATTAATCATTAACCAATTATGAAGGCTAGGAGAGCCTGAGTAAATTTGTTATTAGAATATGTAGTTTGCTCTCTACCTATGCAGTATTTCAATTGTGAAGTGAATTTCAGGATATGGTGATGTTACTGGGCCTAAATTGTTACTTACTAATTCCTATTTAGAAATAATAGCTGCTTAGTTAAACAGTCTAAGGTTAGGGGCATGAATATAAGATTACTCTGTGTTTATTGGGAAAATGCATAATGTCATATTAAAGAGTCATTGTTGGCAGGGAGTAATTGACTGCAACTTATTTGCAGTATATGCTCGGACTTGCTTTCTTTATGATATTTCAAGCATTTGGCCATGAAATTAAGGCTGTTCGGTTTTCTTTTTGTTGGAGCTTCCCAGCACCCATATACCTCCATGGAAGTGCTCTTGATGGAGACATTTCTGTCTTGCTCCAGGATAGTGCATGGTTAATTATGTTTTAGAAAAAGTTGTTACTTTTTTCAAGCAGGTCTAGACAAAATTATCCTTATTTTTATGCAAGATGTTCTTTGAGTTTTCTGCCTAAGACAATGAATTGAGTAGAGTGACATCTGGGCCATGAAGTTCCTGAATGAATTTTTGATGCCCAGCCCTACTTGGGTCACCAGAAAAAAAATCCCAACCCCTTAGTTTTAATGGAATTTGATTTACATTTATTCTTATAAATAAAATTAAATATACTAAAATTAAATACAGTTCATATGACTATCGCGTAGCAACAATTAGTTTCATTCAGTACTTGGAGGTCTCTGGGAGCTCTGACCTGAATGAAGACAAGGTTTTAAAAGGTGTTTTAAAACACTCTTTTTCCTCCATCCAATCTTAATATGGAGATTATGAAAGATTTTTATAATACTATATCGTCTCAGTAGCTTATATACTATGCAAATAATATGGGTCCCCAATTTTAGCAGTCTTACAAATCTCTTAAAAGTGAAGGAAAAATTACCTTTATTATAACTGTATTTTGCAGAAGCATTCTATTCTTTTATGTAGTCAGGTAGAAAGTCCCTCTCAATGAAAATTAGAGCTTTTGAATCCCTGCTTTTAAGAGGAAGCTCTATGTGTTTTAGGAAATCAAACA